AAGGCGTACCAAAGTGTAATTATGGTATCTTTGATGAGTTTTTATATCCCAAAGGGACAATCCAGGCGACAAGAATTACATTGGAATGTGTCCCCCCTCCCGAAATAATGGTCTTTCATTTCATTATTTTTGCATTTTGTTGGATTTGTTTGGATTATGAAAATCATCCGAGGTTTTGATGAGTAGGAATTGTTAATCACGTTTAACGTACATACAATCTAAGACTTTCTAATCTTGCAATAGTATTAAAACATTTGACTTTTCTACACTTTACACAAGTATTCCCCATTCCAAACTAAAAGACAAATTGAAAGAGTTGGTATTACTGTGTTTCATTAAAAAGAATGGCGAACGTAGATACAAGTATCTTGTCTTGGGGAGGGATAAAACCTACTTTGTAAAGAATCACTGTGATTCAAAAAAAAAATTCTCTGAAACTGACATTATCAAGATGCTTGATTTCTTGATTGACAACATATTTGTTACGTTGGAGGACGAGTTTTTCAACAGACTGTCGGAATTCCTATGGGAACCAATTGTGCCCCTCTTCTTGCCGACGTGTTTCTTTATTATTATGAGGCTGACTTCATACAGGAACTTCTTAGGAAGAAAGATAAGAAGTTAGCAATATCCTTTAACTTTACGTTCCGCTATATAGATGATGTTCTCTCACTAAATAATACAAAATTTGGTGACTATGTTGAACGAATCTATCCCATCGAACTAGAGATAAAGGATACTACAGATACAGTTAAGTCTGCCTCATAACTTGACTTACATCTAGAAATTGACAATGAGGGTCGGTTGAAAACAAAACTTTACGACAAAAGAGATGATTTCAGCTTCCCAATTGTGTACTTTCCATTTCTATGTAGCAACATTCCAGCAGCGCCTGCATACGGAGTATATATCTCCCAATTGATACGATATTCCCGGGCTTGTATTTCCTATCATGATTTCCTTGATAGAGGATTGCTGCTCACAAGGAAGCTATTAAACCAAGAGTTCCAAATGGTGAAGTTGAAATCATCCCTTCGTAAATTTTACGGACGCCATCACGAGTTTTTGACCGTTATGGAAAAACCGTTCCACAGATGATATCGGATATGTTCCTTATTTCGTAACTACAATACCCTTCCCTTTTCACGAATGTGACCTACCGAATTAGACTATTTACCAGATTTGTAATAACATAAGCAACACTACGGGTGCCACATGTGGAGCAGGATCTGCTTACCCTTCCGGAGCACCTGAGATCACCCCCAGTTCTTGGTGGGTTTCGTGTTGCTTAGTCTTTAGTTTTCTTTGTTGTGTCATCTGTACCATTATTTGTCTGTTTGTCTTTTTATTTTTGGCCATGTCGTTGTCAGTTTGTTTTCGATCTATGAGTTTGACTGTCCCTCTGGTATCTTTCTGTCCTCTTTTTAGGATAAAGATGGATTGGTATTTTACGTCAAGTTGCAAATATAATATGCAAATCAGGGCGAAACACGTTAATGAGATATGAATATGAACACTTCATTGTTCATGCTGAACTGGATAATTTAAGGTAAAAGTCTACAGGAATATATGTCACCCTACATAAAAATTTTATTCCGCGAGTCGACCATTCTTCGCTTTTACTCCTAAATGACGCATGCTATACGGAAAGCGGTTGATACTACTTCAAGTCATTGGTTTGACCTAGACGGGGTCAAACTCACGATTTCTTGCAGCATGCTACGAAGAGATGACAAAGATGGTTCAAACTTAAAGAGAATCTGATAAAAAAAGAAGATCCTGCCGACCAAAATTAATATGGAATATTGTTACCAGTAATACATTTTAGATTTCGCTGACTATCGGACTCATCCGTGGTCTTGATGAATAGAAAGTTGAATCCAAATTTTGAGAGCGTCTGATAAGATGAAAAATATTAACAAAAATACCGAACTCCAGAATAAATTTAAGAAAGGGAAAGTCAATACAACCTTACAAAATCAAACGCTCGATTATATCAACGAACGAAACGAATAGAAAAACAACTGTCATCTTTCTGACTTGGTTAAAGCATTTTGAATTGGTGGGTTTAACCTAGTTGTATAGCTCCGCATTGTATGACACTTGTATGACAGTTGTTTACAGGTCCGTTATATTGAGAAATTAGGTGAGCAACTCAAACAGACGCAATGGGTTAATGAGGCAATAATTGAGGTCCATTAGCCAAAACTGAACTACAGACATACAAATCAAATGACTTTAACAACATTCAAACATATAATTTATTCTGACAAAGACTTCAACAAAACAAATTTTGTAATAGAAATATACTTCCAAGGAAATGAAGGCTCTAACCGACGACAAGAATGAATTAGAATTTTTGCAAGCCCCTCCAGAAAAAAGGTTCTCTATTTCAAATTGTTCTGATTATCCCGATTTTGATGTCTGAAAAAGTTCATTCAAATTTGAAGATGACCCGACAAAAAATGAAGGCGCTTGCATGTTGCCAACAACATTATAATGAACGGGACACCAATATTTTACTTCGTTGCATGGGGCATTAAAGGTATGAGAGTTTCATACAAAGTATTTGAATTCAACTGATTAAAGCCTAAGGTAGACAGCATTTTTGAAAAAAATATCTGAACAAATGAAAAGTTTCGTTATAGCTAACTTTAGGTTAAGTATATTTATTTTAAGACCCATTTCTGTCCACTCCCCCCTAAATAAAAACCATTCAACAGGTAATTACTTCTTTTGCTGATGTGATTTAAGGTCATCATTATACGTCGTTATTAAATATTCGAAATCGGTTAAAGTAAACTTTATTTAATAACATTGCATCGCAATAAACAAGAAATATGATTACATAAAAGCTATTACAACTAATATTAAATCCTCTCCTTACATATACAATACACATATATGATGACAGCAAACAAATAAATAGTAAAGCTTTAGTTATAGAAAACAAAAGAAGGAGTCACACATTTGCTTGGCAGAAGAAAAAAAACAATGAAAAAATCAAAACACCACAGAGAAGAAAAAAAGGGGACAAAACTGCTGAACTGGAATGTTAAAACCTTTTTAACTGTTTAATTAAACATCAAACGCTATCAAAAATGTTAGAGTTAGTTTCGTAATTATATGCATTTTTCCAAACAAAAGCGATTCAATATCAATATGTGTGTTCATGTTTATAAGATCATTAACCGGAGACATTCTTTTGTTGTAATATAGTTGGCTTTCAAGATGTCATCTTCAACAGGAGAACCACAGGAGTATTTAATATCATTCACTACATATTTCTCTTTTTAAATCAGTATTTAGGGAACAGCATTGACGCCTTAGCCTTGTTTGCAGTATATTATATTGTCAATCAGGAATATGACAGTTGTTTTACATGCGATTGATGTGTTTGAGCTTTTGATTTTGCCATATGATAAGGGACTTTCCGTTTTGAATTGTCCATGAAGTTCGTTTTTTTTTGTTATTTTACTTTTTTCTAGACCCTTCACTTTAATATTTAGGAGGTCTGAATTGTCCACCCTTCATTTTCCGCTTATAATGTGGGCGTTACCTTTATCAGGAACTCTCAATGCTGAATATTTCAAAGCCAAGGATTTATAAGAACCGAAACAGTTGAAGAGCTTAATGACCAAAAAGGACCTAAAATAACAGCCAAATCTATCTTGGGTCAAATGTGCCGGATGAGAGTAGGATCCACTTCCATTCATATGCTATTTGTAATATGAAGCGTGTTCACGTGATATTGGGAATAGGCAGTGTGTTCAAGTTTCTGAGACAATAGGCAGTATCTTCAAGTGACATCCGTTTTAGAAAGTTTGTTCACGTGCCATCAGTTATAGGTTGCACTTTGTAAATACAGCTGTTTTTCAAACCACGCCTCTTTTGGGGAGATATAAAATATTCATAGACAATTAATTTTGTTTACGTACTGGTTCCCGGATATGATCTCTATGTTTCATCTCATAGAGACATAACTTGGGAATGTTACCAGTAAATATACATATTCATAGTGATCAAGTTGAAGTCTGTGGAAATCCTTAAGTCAAGGTTGGGGTAGATTAAAAATTTAATGTAAGTTTAAACTCTTAGAAGTTCGGGGCATATAAACGTTGAAAATATGCCGCACAGCCCTATATTTTGACCTTTGAAAAAAATTGTAGTGCATATAAACATTCCATTCTAGGATATACTTTTTTTTCAAAACTTCATAGTAAAAGTGGTACAGTTTTAGCCCGTGAAAGTAGTTCCTATGGGAAATTGCATTGTTGATATTTACAGAAATGCAACCTATAGAAGGTTTGTTTACGTGCCATCAGTTTTAGAAACTTTGTTCACGTGGCATCAGTTATAGAAAAGTTTGTTCATGTGCCATCAGTATTCGGCAGTGTATTCACGTGCCATCAGTATTCGGCAGTGTGATTAAGTGTCTTCAGTAATAGGCAGTGTGTCATCAGTTATAGACAGTTTTTGCCACGTGCCATCAGTAGAAGTCAGTGTGTTCACGTGCAATCAGTATTTGTCAGTGTGCCATCAGTTATAGACAGTTTTTGCCACGTGCCATCAGTAGTAGGCAATTTGTTCACGTGCTATCAGTAATGGGCAATATCTTTACGTGCCATCGGTAATAGGCAGTATATTAACATGCCATCAGTTAAAGGCAGTGTATGCATGTGCCATCAGTTATGGGTAGTGTGATCACGTGCTATCAGTTATAGGCAGTGTGTTCATGTGGAATTAGTATAAAGCAGTGTTAACGTACTGTCAGTAATGTGCAGCATCTTCACGAGCCATCGGTTATAGGAAGTGTGTTCACGTGACATCGCAAATTGGTAGCGTAAGGCATGTTATCGTTTTTTCAATGGAAAAATAAACTAAACTAATGACAAATAGCACGTTCATTAGGAGTATATTCTCTTTAACTCATGCAAATTATTGCTTAGTTTACACTAAAAAAAAAAACAAAAAAAAAAACTACAAGACACAGATATATTAAAGTTTGTTTTATTTAAACATAAGTCACTATTACAAAAACATGGCATAATTGATGATGAAATGAACAATATTACAAACAACAACAAGATATCACAGTCTGCATGGATTTAAAAACTTTCCGAATCAGTGAGGTTCAAAATGTGAAGCATGTTATCTTTTCCTTCTTCTCCTGTTGCTTTTGATGATAACATTAAATTTGACCTACAGCACACCGTGTGGATAGTTTTTTGAAAAAAAACCCCTACAAAAACAATGAATCAAAAAAGCTGTTTACGAGTTCTTTCTTTGATTTCTTCGGTTGGACACATTCAAATCGACTTGCAGCACAGTTAGTGGGTAATTCGATGTCCACTTTTTGACATTGGTGTTCTTTAAGTTCTGGACAGAATACGGCAACCCTACGTTTTATGAAGTTGTCTGGAACACACTTAAATGATTTGCTTTTAAAGGAAGGTTGATCATTTCTGGAATTAAAAATAAATTCAAATAGTTATGTGTCAAATTAGCCAGCTTTAATCTTCAATATTTGATCAGACATCTAAAAGAATTGGACTAGATAAGCTGGAACCTCTTACTTTACCACTAAATTAATTAAAAAAATTGATATGAAATAAAGCTTTATAAAATGTAGAATGAAGTATTAGAAACTGTGAATGTGAACATATACAACTGTTTGCTACTACCACTACAATTACCACTACTATTACTACTTGTACTACTATTACCATTACTACTACTACATATACTACTACTGTTTCTACAAGAATCATAATCATTGAAATTTTTTAAAAAGGCACATAAGAAAAAAAACAGCTTTGTGAAACATGGTTACTTACGTGCATTTCATGTAGAAAACTTTCTGTTCCCATGGACGTACAACATAACACTGGGTCAGTCTGATTTTGTGTATGTCCTCGTCAAACATTTCCACATTTACAGCTGTTATGTTAACATAATTGCCCGGACAAACCTTCTCACATCTGCCTAGCGTTTTTCCAAGGTCACCGCCATCAATTGGACATTGTCTTTAAAAAAAGGGGACAAATCATATAAATTTTATTTAAAGGAAAGAAGACGCTGTATTTTTCTTAGGAATTATGCTGCTCGAAGGTAATCTCACAGCCAGATTTATGACTATGTTATAATGCAACACGCTGAGATTAAATGTTATGACTTTCTTGTAATAACATAATCTGGTTGAATGTTAGGAACTTGTTGTAATAACACATTGTGAAAAGATTTTATGACTTATTTGTAATAAGACATTATGGATGAATGCTAATATTGTGTTCTAATGACACATTAAACAAGAATAAAGCTTTAATTATATTTATCAAATGTAATTAAAAGACATTTGTTTTATGTCTTTTTTGGTGATATAGCTCCTAACGTTTTTTCTTATTTATACAGTTTTGGTTTTCAATAGTTTGGGTTTGAGCGTTGCTGATGAAGGTAAATCCAGGTGAGCGCTTCGGACGCACGAAATTTATAAAATGTTATTTCGTTGATGATTTGCTAAATATCAGACAGTTACCAAGACTGTTGGGTATCCTCTTTGTCGATTTTAGAACATCCAGATAGCAACAAATACATCCAGTTTCTACTACACCACCCCGTTGAGAACGATATTTATCCTCTCGATAATGACGGATGTCATAATAATTATTTATAAATATGAATATAAACTTACTCATGGTCAAGGGGAAGTTCCGGAGAGTATATTTTACAAGAATCCTCAACGAAGGATAGGAGATTTGGGTCTGCTACAAGGGCGCTTTCTATATCATCACTGAAAAACACAATGAAAAAATGTATACGTTTTACTTATGACAGTATTTCGCAGAAGTTGAAAGTTCATTACATAATTACAAATCTGTATTCCTAGATTGTTGTCTTGGCAACGTATGCTCGTTAGAATATGTGTCAATCAATTAATAACAAAGCTGTCCACTGGATGGACCTGCTTACTGTACAATCATAGCGGCTGGTGTGTACATAAATTATGTAATTTTAAAGAAATCTTTAACTGTGTAAATAACAACGTAGCTGCCATAGATAAGTCAAAAGTGTTGATATATGTTAATATGTCCATGGCAGTATTTCCAATTCAGAGTAGCTCTTCCCTGAGAAAAATAACGTCATGCATTTGTGAGAGTGTGTTACTGAAATCTTTAAAAGTATGTGTATAACCGTGAAGTCTCATCTACAGTACTAAAGCCTGAATCATGCACATTTTTATATTTCTAACTGAAAATATTTTGTATGGTATGTATATTATGTATCAAACAAACATATACTCTATCATCAGCTTATTTCAAATTAACATATAAATGTACCATATTCTACTGTTTAAATAAAGTACTGACAATCACTTATAATATATGTTTGTCATTATCAATCAGTGTTTTTATCTATTGTTCATCGTTTGAAACAAATATACAATGCCAGCTGAGAGCAAATTTACAGATCTAACATTGTTGGGCTGATGTTTAGACGAGTTGTATATACAGAATGTTCACAGCCATGTACCACCATCACTGCAGGTGATCCGATGGATAAATCTGTTGTAGAATTGTCACTGGTTCAGACGTACTTATATATATATATATATATATATATATATATATATATATATATATATATATATATATATAAGTGCCTATAAATAGCAGCACATGACATACAAATCTATGGGAGTGTGGATTAATCAGTACAGAGATTAATTCAATTACACAAATAAAATTATAGATTGCCTAACAATGTAATTTTAACACACTATTTAGTATGTAAATATAAGAATGTTTAAAATATTTACAAAATGATGAAAATAAACGCAATATTTCGCTAGACTAACTAGCTTTATCAAGCGTGCATCTATCCAGGTGAAATCGGATGTAGATGATAAGAAACTTTTGCAGCTCAATGTATATGTTGCACTTGAATTTAGCTGCCTTGAAAATAATACATAATTTGGATGAAGTTCAAGATTTTTACAAAATTGGTAGTTGAAGTTAGCAACGTCCATTGGCCAATATTACAGGATAAAAAGGACGATGCTGTGTACTAAATTATTCTTTATCTTTCCTGTATCTTTTCTCATCTTTTTCGTTAAGACCATCAGGTTCTAAAGTGTGGAGTTGGTAGATCCAAAAATTTTCTCTTCTCCTTCTCGCCGTGGTGTCCCACTCGGTGTTGACTTCTATGATTTGGAAGGTAACATTATCAAAAGAATGTTTCGTTGAACGAAGATGTCTTGTGAGAGGACAGTTTTTGTTGGTTTTGTACCATGAACGATGGTTATTGAGCCGAATATTAAATTTGTCCATTGTTTCTCCCACATACTGAATGCCACATGTGTCACATGTTAATATATAAATTGAGTTCTCCGTTTTACAGTTGGAATTTGAGTAGATGGTATAATTTTGTTTAGTAACGGAGCTGATGAAAGAACTGCTTGTATTGGCAGCTTTACAACACAAGCAGTTCTTTCATCAGCTCCGTTACTAAACAAAATTATACCATCTACTCAAATTCCAACTGTAAAACGGAGAACTCAATTTATATATTAACATGTGACACATGTGGCATTCAGTATGTGGGAGAAACAATGGACAAATTTAATATTCGGCTCAATAACCATCGTTCATGGTACAAAACCAACAAAAACTGTCCTCTCACAAGACATCTTCGTTCAACGAAACATTCTTTTGATAATGTTACCTTCCAAATCATAGAAGTCAACACCGAGTGGGACACCACGGCGAGAAGGAGAAGAGAAAATTTTTGGATCTACCAACTCCACACTTTAGAACCTGATGGTCTTAACGAAAAAGATGAGAAAAGATACAGGAAAGATAAAGAATAATTTAGTACACAGCATCGTCCTTTTTATCCTGTAATATTGGCCAATGGACGTTGCTAACTTCAACTACCAATTTTGTAAAAATCTTGAACTTCATCCAAATTATGTATTATTTTCAAGGCAGCTAAATTCAAGTGCAACATATACATTGAGCTGCAAAAGTTTCTTATCATCTACATCCGATTTCACCTGGATAGATGCACGCTTGATAAAGCTAGTTAGTCTAGCGAAATATTGCGTTTATTTTCATCATTTTGTAAATATTTTAAACATTCTTATATTTACATACTAAATAGTGTGTTAAAATTACATTGTTAGGCAATCTATATATATATATATATATATATTTTCCAAAAGACCAAAAGAGTGAAAAAGTATATTTTAACAAAACGCATTTGACTAACAGGTCGAACAACAAATGTTCTTAAATCCTGCTGACTGCCATTGGCGATTGCCAAATAAACGGATCACAAGGTGTAATAAATGGATCTTCTTAACTATAAATTTAATACCAAACAGAAAACAATAAACTTGCGACAAAGATGGTATACCGCAAACAAAGGTGCAAAGATTTTTTGTACACCATATCCGGATTTCGACAATTAATGTCTCTTCAGTGATGTTAGGAATCGAAACGGTTATTGGAAGGCCACATAATTTACCTCAATTTAGGATAGACTCTTGAATTTTGAGGAGTCAAAATAGGATGAACGGATCATATAAACCCGAAGGCAAATATAATACAAGCCCAAACGAAAAAATATAAACAAGTCTAAATTGAAAACAACGTTCAGACCTATGATTGCGTTGGATAAAAACCGCAATTTTTATACGTTTGCAGGCAAAACAAATTTCTTGTTAGAGGGGTCTAAATACAGCACAAACAACATTTTCCAAAAGACCAAAAGAGTGAAAAAGTATATTTTAACAAAACGCATTTGACTAACAGGTCGAACAACAAATGTTCTTAAATCCTACTGACTGCCATTGGCGATTGCCAAATAAACGGATCACAAGGTGTAATAAATGGATCTTCTTAACTATAAATTTAATACCAAACAGAAAACAATAAACTTGCGACAAAGATGGTATACCGCAAACAAAGGTGCAAAGATTTTTTGTACACCATATCCGGATTTCCAGAACTGTGATGTTAGGAATCGAAACAGTTATTGGAAGGCCACATAATTTACCTCAATTAAGGATAGACTCTTGAATTTTGAGGAGTCAAAATAGGATGAACGGATCATATAAACCCGAAGGCAAATATAATTTTTCACTTTTTTGGTCTTTTGGAAAATGTTGTCTGTGCTGTATTTAGACCCCTCTAACAAGAAATTTGTTTTGCATGCACACGTATAAAAATTGCGGTTTTTATCCAACGCAATCATAGGTTTGAACGTTGTTTACAATTTAGACTTGTAGATATATATATATATACAAGTCTAAATTGAAAACATATATATATATATAAGAAACTTGCATGTCTTATCTGCTATTTCTCGGTTTTTAAATTTTGTATTTGTCTTCTTGGTTTCTTTTTTTTTAATTCAGACGATGTGATAAATCAAACAAAACTAAAGCAAATTCCTTTTTTACAAGTAACAAGAAAGAAAACACATAAAAACTGATGTAAAATTTTCATACTCGCAAAGTCATGAAAATAAGAAAGCGACTGCTGCTACATAGATCTACTGTAATACTGTAATTTAGAAAGATGTATAATACTTGTGAGAATGTCGAAAACATAACTGGTTAAAGAATGTACTTACTATTTATACGGCTTTGTATATTCATCATTACATCCAGGATTATTTTTAAATTCTCCATTACATATTCTGACCCTATCAGGCCAATTCATTTCTGGAGGATTCATACACTTGTAAGCTTCATTTACTCCTAGTAGCGCAAACCCAACAACAAAAATATTCATCTAGATAAAAGAAAAGTTTAGAATTGTAATTACAGCATTTTGACTATATTTCTACATAAAATCTCTGGATATAAAAGACCTAATGTTAAATACTAGAGTTCTATACTATACTTTTATATTACCAATCATCTGAAAATGATTGTAATTTAAAATTTTTAAACATAAGATATTATAGTTTATGCACCTTTCCTGAACTTAGATATCATAAGTGAAAGACTTTTCTTACCATGTTTAGATCGTTAGAACAACTGTATTTTCTGAATACCTCACAATCTCCTTTCTTTTATGTGTTATAATGCCACGAGGAAAAAGATTTAAATGCCAATCGCAGCTCGTGTTACAATGACCCTATTACGTCATATGTTTCTATCTATTCAGATTATTTCTGTGTACCAATTAATCAACTATCTGTCAAACCACAACAAAAAATGCATACATATAAATAGTAAAAATAATGAAGATTAATTACGTCAGAGGGAAGGGTTTGTTTACATCAAATAAGGTCATATGTTGAACTTATAGCTCTTCAACTGTGTCGGTACTTATACATCCCTCGGATTTCAAATGTTTTGCTTTGAGCGTTCCTGATGAAGGTAAATCCAGAAAAGCGCTTCATACGCATGAAATTATTAAACGTGTTGTTTTCAATTTTTTACATCACTGGGTCGATACTTCTGCTGGTGGACTATCAGTCCCCGAGGGTATCATCAGCTCAGTAGTTAGTACTTCGGTACTGACATGATTTATAACAAACTTTTCTAAAATTGTCCGTTTATAAATCTTGAAATTATAAAGAAACTAAGGTTTCAACTCCCTCAGGCAAAGTTGACCTTAGATGGATTTGGCTATTTGTTTTAGGTATTTTTGTCATATAGCTCTTCAACTGTGTCGGTACTTATACATCCCTCGGATTTCAAATGTTTGGCTTTGAGCGTTCCTGATGAAGGTAAATCCAGAAAAGCGCTTCGGACGCATGAAATTATTAAACGTGTTGTTTTCAATTTTTTACATCACTGGGTCGATACCTCTGCTGGTGGACTATCAGTCCCCGAGGGTATCATCAGCTCAGTAGTCAGTACTTCGGTACTGACATGATATATAACAAACTTTTCTAAAATTGTCCGTTTATAAATCTTGAAATTGTAAAGAAACTAAGGTTTCAACTCCCTCAGGCAAAGTTGACCTTAGATGGATTTGGCTATTTGTTTAAGGTATTTTTGTCATATAGCTCTTCAACTGTGTCGGTACTTATACATCCCTCGGATTTCAAATGTTTGGCTTTGAGCGTTCCTGATGAAGGTAAATCCAGGAAAGCGCTTCGGAAGCATGAAATTATCAAACATGTTGTTTTCATTTTGAACCTACTGTGCACTAGAAGTTCCTTATAGTGTTCCGTGCATATGTAAATATTTATAATTCAGGGAAGTCAGAATAAGAGCTAGAGTCCACATCAAATATTTGCACCTTACTTTAAAATGTTTCATCAATTAAAAAAGAAATCAGCATCTGGTTCATATATACTTGGTTATTTTTGTCATTAAGCAATATTGTGTTTCTACAGTTATAATAGTATGCAGAATGTGGTAATACAATAGGCGCCCGGGGAGTCTTTTTATTGAAAAGTTGTTGTCAGATTGGGTGTCAAACGAAGACATTGTATCTCATTTTCAATAAGTAAAAATAAAGAAACGATGACAATTTTGGGGTAACTGTTAGCATCGTTTGAAACGTGCGTTTGGCGTAACAAATAATAAGCCTGGTATAAAAGTATAACAACAATACCGAACTCTAATAAAATTAAAAAAGGGGAAGTTCATAAAAACTGTCAAAATCAAACGCTATAAATAAAAGGAACAAATGAAAAACAACTGCCATATTCCTGGCTTGATACAGGCATTTTCCGAAGAAAATGGTGACTTAAACCTGGTTTTATAGCGTTGGCTAAACCTCCCACTTGTATGACAGTTGTTTATAGTTCCGGTAAGCAACCCAAATAGACATACTAAGTTAATGTAACAATATGGGATTCAGCAGCCAAAACTGTGTAAGCATTCATCACAGACATACAACAGTATCTTTGATGCGTTTATAAAAAAATGACATTAAGGGCTCGGTTATTATAATGCGTATCAGTTGTAGAAATGCACATCTGGTGCAGTAAAATTGGTACCGTTCATGTTATTATAAAAACATAACACCAAACAATTTAGTTGATATATCTTTCAAATATTAATACACCAATAACGATCCAACTTCATTCACATGGTATTAAGAAATACATTTTAACAAATGATACCGCCGTTGGAAAATTGTGTTCGGTCGATGAGATTATTTATAGTTTGGACACAATAATCGGATGTAACCTTGACCGGAAACACTAATTTTAAAGAGCATTACTACTAAAACTTGCTCGAACTGATCATAAAAAACTATTCAATATCTTCCTTTAAACAACTTTGTTTCTAATGAATCAATCACATGATAAGTAAAATGTGTTATGTATCAGCAATATTTTGTTCTACCACTATGATTTATATAATCTACAGTAATGGCATATAAGTTCGTTGTTTATTGAATTTTTCAGAACGGTTAGAACTTTTCGCGTGACAATTATATAAAAACATGTATACAAATACTGACAATAATTTTCATAATATCAATGAAGTGGAATTAAAGTCTAATAGGATTGTAAGTATGCTTTATTTTATCATCTTGCACTTTCACAACTTGACTATGGTTTACTACAGCAGTTCGTTAAAATTTCTGACCAGTTGAACAATTTGGTTTGATAAAACAAATTGCAATTTGGTCAGAATTTTTAGTAAACTGCAATAAGTGGAGAGCAACACTTACAGTCAAGTCACAGTAATAAAACACACAATTACTGAATAAGCGAGAAATAAAAACCAGCTGAACATAACAAATGAGTGTTCAAAATAAAAGTTTAACTGTATCAGGAATATGACAGTTATTTTTCTTTTGTTGTTGCGTGAGTTGACATAGTCGAGCGTTTGGGTTTGTCCGTTTCATGGTCTTTCCACTTTATTGAATTTATCTTGGAGTTTGGAATTTTTTGTTAATACTTTTATTTAACACTTTAGTGGTTGGGATATAGATTACTACTTTTAAATCATATTGTGTTTTAAGTTTGCACTAAATATTCTGAAAATTGATAGAAATTTGGAAAAATCCTATAACGATTGACCAAATTCAAACGAAGTTAACAACAATGAGCAAAACCCATACCGCATAGTCAGCTATAAAACACCCAGAAATGCCAAATGAGAAACCTAACGACATGATTTATGTATAAAATAATGAACGAAAAACGAAAAACAAATATGATATACAGAAACAATCGACAACTTCTTGACTTGGGACAGGCACATACAGAATGTGGCGGGGTTGAACTAGTTAGATGGCGCCAAACCCTCCACCTAACTTGGGTCAGTGGTGCAAAAGCACAAACAAGATCACACTTTACAAAACAATAAACGAAAAACAAATATGATAAAGTGTAATAAACAATAACCCCTCAATTACAGGCTCCTGACTTGGGACAGGCACATATAGAATGTGGCGGGGTTAAACTAGTTTGAAGGCGCCAACCCTCCCCCTAACCTGGGACAGTGGTGTAACAGTACGACATAAGAACAAACTATAAAAATCAGTTGAAAAAGGCTTAACTCATCAGATGAATACAAATAGAAATACATCTAACAAAAATACAGAGTGGACGTGGCTGGGTACTTGTACATCCCAACAACAAAAAGACACTAAGTACAGATCTGAGAGTACTCGCAGTTACTGACAGCTAGTACAAAGCTAGATGAACATGAAAACAAAACTTTTCCAAGAAAATGATGAACTATGCGCTTAGCTAGATTCAGACCGATCTACAGTTTACGTATGGTAATGGCAATTTACTATTGTTCAAGGCCGTATGTTGACATCTATTTGTCTTTTCCTGTTTTAAAGGGGCATTAACTGTTAAATTCATGTTTACCGATTTGACTCAAATTTTCATATTTGATTCATAACATACTAACAGGTATATCCAAATTACAAAAAGTCTAAAATAAACAATTAAAAATGCATGGACTTGATAATATATATCAAGATTTCGTGTGTATTTTAGTCTAGACGCCATCTAATTAACCATCGAGATGACCTCCGAAGACTGCCGACGGTCATATACCCGATATAAATATGAATATAAATATGAATAGATAGCGACCACGTGAAAATGGATTTTTTCTAGGTCTGTTTGATTTCATGTTACAAAAATGTATAGGTTAAAGAAATATATTAATCATCATAAATTCGGCTGTTTTATCTGAACTTGGAATATACCCTGTATCAATACAGACCATAAAATCTGCATTAGGTTTCTATGTACACGTTGAAGATGCAACGGATTCTCTTCTGCGTGTAACCTACTTATCTAATATGCAATTGCCAGATAGATTTGTATTAAAAAATTGAATTTTATTGGCTTAACTTAATTTTTAACATGTTGGGAAAAATAAAAATTCATTTTAAAAAAGAGACTATTGAATGCACAGTCAATTAAGCTAATAGATAACTTAACTGTTTACTGGAAAGATAATATCATATTATAGAGAGGAGAGATGAGGTTGGAAACTAAATTTAACAAAAAATGAACTAAGTGTTTATATTGTATTTGTTTTGTGATATGTGTTAGAATAAAAAAAATGAAGAATAAAGAACCGAAGGACAATGAAACAATTATCGTTGGCATTTGTACTGTGAGATCGTATTTGAGTTAATCATTTGTGAGTTTTTTTTATGACCCCTTTGAGACTTGTCGTAAGTTACAAAAAAATGGCGTCGAGACCAAACTAACGCAAAGCTTACTATACATTTATTTTTACTTATTCCTTCATTTAATTTTCTTTTTTCAAAGAAAACTATTATAACTGTCATTAAAAGATAATCCTTTTGTTTATATTCATGTAATGCTTCCAGACTTACGTTTCATCGACAAAAATGGCTATGTTTACTCTGAGCACAAACACAACTGTGCAATTGGAAAAATAATTTAAGGCACGGTTTGGCGTATAAATGCATAGTGTGTTTCAGAAAAATCATAACTTTCATGGATTTTGATGTTCATTGTTTTGTTCCTTTAAAAGGTGCCAAAAGCAACTAGGTTGGGAAACATGTTTGAGTTGTTCCCCTCATCAGTAGGAAATCTGGTGACAAAATATTATCTCCCCTGTAAACACTGAAAGCTTGATCTTCTCAATGTTTGTCCCGTTTTAGCAAGGACGCTTTCAATTATAAATTCAC